TGCAGGCCTGCTGAAAAGCTTCCATTAAGAGAATAAAGACAGATCTTCTCCTTCAGCAGACAGGAATGTCTGGAACTATTACTGGAAGAAACAATGCTGACAGTTCCTTTAGGAAACATTGACTACATTCGTTTTGCTCTGCTAAACATCTCTGTCTTTGAGTGATTACGTCGCTTAATGGATGTCACCTCTGAACTCAGTGAGGAAGCATCCAGGAATGCCTGCTATTCCAAACAGCTCAGTGAGTGTTTATTCTTGACGCTTAAAGGAAGTCCTCTGAAGTCACGACTCCTGTTCTGGAGCGACTGGAAAGTTCCTCTTCCATGCAGAGAGACGACCACTTCAACTCGCTGTCACTAATCAAAGGCTGCTTTCCGTTCTGCCGGTCGGAGGCCAGACTTCATGTTTTGGTATCAGTGGTGTTTGGGCCTGTTGTGGAGATGGAGCAGTCTGTTCCGCAAGCTAACTCAGAAACAAACCCAGGAAGAGAAAGAACGTGGCGACTGGCACGCGGTGTGATCACAGTCAGACTCAGGCTGGATCTGAGCTGGAAACACGAAAACAGACGAGGTGGCACCATGTTTCTGTGTGCAGACAGACTCAGGACATTTTCAGACTTCTAACATTTGCAGAGGCTTTAACGGAGCCACAGTTTCTTGGACAGTAATGTCCAAACCGAAGGGTTTTCAAAGACTTTAGCTCAGAGGTCCCGTTAACGGAATATTTCCCATATTTATTTTAAACAATGGAAAAATTTGAAGCCTGTCGTTCATTTGACAGTTTAGAATTCTCACCCTTGACGGATGTGGATTATAGATTCTACACAGAGTTCATGGCAGAGGCAAATAAAATTAATTAATGAAAAATAGATTTTTAAAATTTATTTGTAGACATGCTGCTTCATTAAATGTGAGACACTGTGCGTTCAGACAACAGCAGGTGAAGTTACTGGGGCCACAGTAGGAGGTTTGTGTCACTATGGAGAAAAATGTAGGTGCATTTTGTCTGCTTTACGTGTGATGGGATCTGGGTTCACGGTTCAATGAGGTGAATGTTAACTGAACCGCAAAAAAATGCGGCTCAATAGCCTATGTTAATGTGATTATACATTTACGGGTAAAAATAGTACATGACAGATTTTTAAAAAATGCTGTCTGTCAAACTGGTGGAAAATAAAAAGGTCTGGCAAAAAATGTCCAGCTTTATGAGTCTTGATCTCTGCTGGGTTTCAATCAACTTGAAAACTGAAATGCAATCAACTTTCTTGTTGCTATTGCATTCAAGTTCAGAAGAAAAGACAATTATTTTCCGCTACTTTTGTTTTAAAAGTCAAACGCTTGTCATTTCTTACTTAATCCCAGCTGATCTCAGAATCCTTGAATCTTAGCTTCGCTTTATAAAGTGCAGCACAGAGCAACATTTTCTGTTCTGTTTCACCTGGAATGAGAAACGCAGCATAGCTGAACCTTAACTTGACAGATCGTGTGGAGATGATGCTGCACATGTGTAAACTTTTGTACAGTTTGTACCAACAAAGAGAGGTCATTTGTGAAAAGTGACCGTTTTTGTCCTCTCTGTTTTTGCAGCTCTTCTGTGCTCCACAAGGTAGATGCAAAGCTTCAGTGTGAATACTTTAATAATTAATACTGCGCAGTGACGACGAACTGATTACATTTCTTGACATAATCCAGCGATCTTCTCCCTCATCAAGCCCCTATCAGATCCGCGCGTCGGCTATAAACACGCTCTTGTTTTCCCGTTGTTTGTCCTCATCCACCAGCTCTGTCCTGGAATTCAGCAGGAATGCAGAAACAGCATCCTGTTTTCATTCAGTGCTCTGACTCAGCCATTCAGACTCCGTCGCACACGTCGACCAGTTAATTCTAGATGATGAATGGGTGGGCAGCCCTGATCCAACCCTTGAGGGCAGGTGTCCTGCAACCTTTAGATGTGTCTCTGCTTCAAATAATGAGGTTGTTAAAGCAAAGCTATGGAGAACTTGACTGCACTTAGTAGGTCATTCTGCTACCTGATTGACATGTGTTGGGCCTGGGAGATATCTGGATTGCTCACCACTGGTTCAGTTGGACTAACTTACTCCAGTTCCCTCCTGTTGCACTGTCACCTCTGGGGAAGGCGTTTCTCCAAAGGTGTCATCTGTGAGTCTGTGGCTCCATCTTGCCGTGGCAACCATGGTATTGTGCAAATTGAAATTGCAACAATAAACTGCAATTTTGTAAAAATTGCCATGTTTCCAATAAATGAAAACATGGCAATTTCAAATAAACTCATCATTTTCGACCAAAGGTTTTTTGTTGTGCTTTGTGACCGTATTGAAATAGAGGTACAGTATTTCACGTTATAACTTATTGAGTGAACGAGATTATTCATGTGGGATTTTAACTTCATGTCTTAGTTAATGGAAATACTGCAGTTGCGAAATTATGGTTGTTCGACATCAGCAGAACATTGACAAAAATTTGCGCACATTTCTAATGAAAACGCATATTGAGAGAGTAAAGTGACTCTCCTGTAAAGTGGTTTTGTGAAAATAGAAAAGCCTCACATGAATCCAGCCCATAATAATACTTCATGGTCAGGTTGTGTCCTCTCCTCCCCCCATCCATGCTGTTAAAACCCCCCAGAGCTGAACCAAATGATCCTGTGTGTGACTTTAAATCCAGCCAGTTCCTCAGTCAGTCTGTAAGTCTCACAGACTTGACCCATGAGTCCAGGATGTCCTGCAGATAATTTTGGAGAGAGAAAAAAAAATGTCACTCAACATCCTCTGTTATGAACAACTCCTGAGCTCACGTTTGCCCTCCAAGAACAGCCTATCTTAAGTAAACGTCGCCTCACAGGCAGATTTTTCTTTCTTTCTTTCTTTCTTTTTTTTTTCAACCATGGATCAACAGGTGACTGTAACACTCAAAGAAATGCCGTGTGCGGTAATAACACCCTGGGTTTCACTCTGCTCCCTTCGGCTCTCACCGGGTTGAAGGTGCGCCCCGTCACTAGTTAAATGTTAAGCAGACACTCCTGCTTTTGAACTGTCAATCTGCAGAGAGGGCTTGAAAGACACCAGAATTTCTTGGACAGTAATTTGCAAACAGAAGGTTTTTCAAAGACTACATTTGTGAGCAGGGCCAGCCCAAGGCACAAGCACACTAAGCAGCCACTCAGGGCCTCAGGGACGCTGAGGGGCCCCCAAGTGGAGCAAATTTATGTATTTATTTATTTTTTTGAAGTAATAATTATCATTAACAATAATTAAAACTTCTCAATGTTTGACATTATCTAGCAAAATGTTTTTACGTCCGGCTACATGGCTGCTACATCGATGAGCTGCTCCATGCTGTAATTGGGGGATTTGTCGTTTGGTGATGAACATCATGATTTTGTGGTTAAAACAAACATTATTTTTCCACCAACTTTTAAGTTGTGTGAAACTTCTGTTAAAATCATATGAAGGTAGAATGAGTCCAGTACCGGTACCGGTCCACATCCTCAGGGGAGAAAGACTCACCAGGTGTAAATGACATGTTTAACTTTTGGAGTAACGCTAAAAGGAATGAATTTAATCAAACAATGTCATGAATATGTGTGTAGAGCTGCACCGACTGCAATTTTCTGGCCGATCCCCAGATCTCGCCCATTTTGATTTTGGCTGATATGAATATTTTTGTCTGAAATGTCACTAAATATAGCAATGAAAGTCACTGAGTTGGCAATGAGTCTTGATCCTGAAACTACTACTGGACTTTAAGTTGTCTTTCTCATTTCTAATCCATGCAAGTCCCTCTTATTTTTATTGCAAAAGTCAAACTCTTATCATTTCTTACTTAATCCCACTTGACCTCAGAATCCTTGCACCTTAATGTCACATTATTTCTTTCTAAGCAATGGGGAAGTAAAACCTTGGCCTGCAGCCTTGCGTGTTGTTGACACACCACAGCTGCTGGGTTAATTCTTCCATTTAGATATTTTGGTCCAAAGTTCGGGTATGATTCGTGTGCACGCCTTCTTTTGACAAACAACCAGGAGCCGGAGCATAACGCTGCATGCAGTGCAGGTAAAACAGAGTTTAATGTCCAAAACAGCCAGATTGATCTAGAGCCTAAACCAGAGATGTTGAAAATCTGTTCTTCTGATCAACATCACATGCATTTTTAAGTGTTTTTTTAACCTCTTTTATTTGCTGCGTTTTACTTTCATTTTCATATCATCATATATTTCAAGGTGGCAGGAAGGAGAACTCCCATCATCCCGGCATGTTTGATGCAAAGCGGTAAGATTTGTCTTTATTTTTGAATTTTATTTATTTTACAAGTAACATGTTTTGAAACAGTTCATGCTAACACAAAAGACCAATATGTGATTCTTCTTTTGCACTTTGACCTCTCCTCTCTACATGATTCGTTTTGTGTTAAGATGCCACTTCAAGAAGGTATTGAAAATGTTATTTGCACTTTAAATAGGAACTATATTGAGAAGCTTTTTAGGGAGGTTATGTGAAGCAATTTCAACTCCAACATTATGGGAAAAACAAATCTTTCACAAAATTGCACCTTTTTCAAAAAGATCGAGCAAAATCTGCTATTTTAGGCCACAACAATAACAAAAAACAACAACAAAAAAACTTTGCAGTGTCCTGGAGGCACTGGCTGGTAGACCAGAACCAGAGGACCTCCGGGTCTGCAGTACATCACAAAACCGCAGTAACAGCTGGATGATGGACTGATTTTTCTTATGAAAACCTGAAAGCAGGACAGTAGAAATAAAAGCCTGCACCAAAGTCTCAGTGTTAGCCAGAGGGAAAACACAGTGAGCTCCGAATGTGATCGAAACCTGTTTTGACTTCATGTTTGATATGTGAAACAAAAGTCAAAAAAACGACTAAATCATATCTTCCATCAAACAAACAAAAGAAACAAAAAACAAAAATGAAAAACATCAAGATATACAAGATGAATAGTTTTAACATTTTCTTTTATTCTCATACAAAATTCTTGACATCAATTATAGAAATATAAATACATTTCTCAATAAGTTAGGCAATAAATAAATTATTCTATTTACAATTACTGTGTTCGTATTAAAAAAGTTTGTAAACTGAACTTGACATTCAGTGCTGAGATGTTTTCTGCTTGGCAGTGATTGAAACGGAGCGAATCCACATTCAGTCGCAGGTTGCAGCGCCAACTACTGTTCCTCTGATGAATTACAGAGGAATAAATGGATTCTTATTGGGACACTGATGCGTTCTTTTGTTTTTGTTTGGGTTTTTTTTTTTTTTTCAGACAAACCTTCGGGCTTATACTCTCATAAAAACAAACACTTGAGCCATCACAATAGATCTGCAGCATCGCCGCTGCTCAGCAAACAGGAAGGAGCTGGCAAACCTCAAAAGAACCCAGAGAGATGACATTCACTTCACCACAGCTGTGTGACCCAGGCCTGAGCTAGCTGCCGGTTTCAACATTTCATCATTTTATCATTTCAAAAGACATTTGCAAGTTTGTCCTAAAGGTCAAGCAGGACAACAGTTTCCACCTCTGATACAGAGGAGTTTGGAAGCAAAGGTCTGCAGGGATGTTTGAAATAATGCAGATGAAATATACATAGATATATATAGAGAGAAAATCTAGGTGGATATAAATGACACAGTTCTCAATTTCAAGGTCTATCCAGAGAATCAATGTTGGTGTTTCATCCACTGAGCCCCAATTCCCAGTCCCTGTTGGAGCTGTTGACCTTTCTTGAATATCTGACCCTTCAGAAATGACATCATTTTGGTATCTCTGATTGAGGGAGACCAGTGACTACATATAAATTGTGATTTGGCACATTATTGTCCATGGAGGAGAAAACGACTACATCTTCGCACATGTTTGTTCCTCCATTCAGGGTTCCTCATTTAGAACTATGGAGTCTCCCAAAGTTTGAAACACGTCTTCATTTTCCCCCTTTTGCTTTCATGTCTGCACTCCTGCTTCCACATGAAGGGGAATCCCTTTGAGCTCTGGAGTCAGTAAGAGTTTGGAGGAGTCTCACAGGGTCTCTGGTTCCCCTCTGGGAGGTAGGATCCATTACGTCAGAGAGCTGCTCGGATCGTCATTCCTTTACCTTCTTGTTTTGGTCTTCTTGGTTCCTGAAGAGTTTGATGACTGAATACCTTTTGCGATTGCCATGTTAAGCGTGACCACAGATCTGAGAGATGAAACAAGAATCCTGGTTAGAAACTCCTTGTTGTTGAACAGAAATAACCACAGAAATCCAACAGAAATGTGAGTTTTTCCATTTACCTCAAAGCTGTAAGAAGTCTGCGATTGTTTGTGTCAGTAACCTTTTGCGAGACCTCCGTCCTGCCGTCCTCAGGACTGTGGAGAGAAACAGGCCGTCGTTAAAATTAGGACTGAAACTAAACCACAAATATTGATGTTTTACAACTTGATCTCACATTTTGGAACCTTAGAAAAAGAGATCTAAAACCTGACCCTGCTGTGGGGGGCACTGTTCAGGCAATTCCTGGGGATTTCTAATGTAACTATTTTTATGGCTAAAAAGCAGGACGTGCCTTACAAAACATCTTCAAGGACAACATCAAGAGATAAATGAGTCATCCACTGTGGTGTTTTTGTGACCACAACATGGTGAAGACGCAACACGAACTCCATTGAGCCACAACAGAAATGTAAACCTTCCTAAAAATAGCCTTGTTTTTAATTAACCAAAGAAATGCAGGTTTTGCTATCTGCCACCACCGTCATACCGTGTGACAGTGACAGAGCCACTATCACACGTCCAATCGTGTAGCTTTCTCTCTGGCTCTGGGTCGACATGCTTTCTGGACGTATCACTTAAGACCAAGGAAGTCATGGAAACTACTCTGATACTATCTCGCAAACTCAGATTAAGTCATGAGGGGGAAAAGACTGACTTTCCTGCAAGGTAAGTATACAGGTGTACAGAAAAAAAAACATCGCTCACCTTTTATGGCAAAAGCCAAGGCAGGTTTTATCTGCAGGATCGCGGCATTCACATCGGCTGGCTGACCGGCGACGGCGAGACGCAGAACTTCCCAAGCCATAAGGAAGGAGTTTGCTGTCAGGGACAAGTGAAGCATTTTTAGATGGAGATAGCTTATCAAAGCACCTCCTGGCAAGGATTAGACACAAAACCAGCCAGCAGCATCTTTGTCTGAAGCTGCATTGAACCTCACCTCGGTGTGTTGACCCAGATGATGTCCAGGTGGCAGAAGTAGATGCACTCTCTGTCTTCCCAGTTGCTACAGGAGCAGCGCTTGGTCCTGATGTGGCGCAGATGTGACTCTGAGACAAGCGCTTCCTGCTGGTCTGATAAAGGGAGTCCACTGCCTGGTAGGTACCAGAGATCCAGAGATTAGTCAGCGTTATAATGCACATTCAGAACTTATTGCACGCACCCATAAAGAGGCATATAATGTGTCTAATCTGGACCCATTGCTGCATAAATATCAGTTATTTTACTTATTCCATTTAAGACTATACATTATCCTGAAAAGAAGTGCCCGGATCAGCAGTGCTATGCTGACATTGTGTTTAAGCTTTAATAGAAGGTGTGTTTCTTATCGAGGTCAAGTGTTCCATGGAAGAACGCATTCCTTCTATTTATGCTCTCTGTTTACTGGTCAAAGTCCAGTCAAATAAAACAGCAGCATCTTTATTTTTAATCCATCATCCAAAACAAAAATACATAAAAGAACCTTCCAGGTTTTAGAACTTTACTCAGACCAGAAATCCTTAACAAGTGCCCAACTTCCAAGAATGTCAATGCTACAAACAAAATATTGATAAAAATAATTATAATAATAAAAGAAAACAACTTACCATCTTGTAGAGACATGCAGATGATGAACAAACCCAGCATCTTGCTCTGGAAGCGGTCCATTGTGGCTCTGTGTGGAGCTGGATGAAAGAGGCGCCGGTCAGTCGACTCGGTCAAGTCAGTGGACAGGTTTTGCGTCTGAACTCTGTGCAGCAGTAGCAACAGGTGCCTTGTGTTCAGCTGCAGCCAGGAGCGTCTGCTTATATACCCCACAGGCTCCTCCCACATCTGTGGACTTGGCTGTTGTTGTACAACTTGGCCGAGTCGCCACCTGAAACCCCCATGCCTCCGCTCCATCACGGTGACACACAGCATTCCAGTCACCGAAGTGAAGCCGCCGTCTCCTCATGGAATGTCATTCAGACAGGAAACTGAAAATAACAACTGCAGGATGAGAATATTTCTAAACAGCTCATGATGACCACATCTCTACAAGATGCTTATCATCTTCTGTCATTCTCTTTTATCTTTTTTTATCTGTAGTTATGCTTATATTAGTCATATATGGAGAGTTTGGTAGTAACTAGTTACACTGACTTGGAGTAATTTTTTGAAAAAGAAGTACCGTTAGGATCATTTTTACTAAACTGTACTTTGTACTTTTTTACTTGAGTGGTTTTATCATGAAGCATTTCTGCTCTTACTTGAGTAAAATTTCTGGATTTTCTTCCCACTGAATGAAACAAACATTTTTTAACCAGAAATTCACCAGACAAAGACACACACCTGCAGCTTCATGTTAATGCTCATAAGATTTTTTTTTTATTATTGAAAGAAACTGACTTGGAAAAGTTTTATTTTGCCTGATTTTATTTTTTGTCACTAAAATAAATTGTGAATTATTGGATTTTTGTCCTTAAAGAATGGAAACTTCCACTTAACTTTACATTTTGGTCCGTCTGATGACGTGATTTTTAAAAATTAAATGATTGATCATTTGATCAGTTACTCAGTTCTTGAGTAGATATTTTACCAAATACTTTTTCACTCTTAAATTAGTTATTGAACTTGAGTAAAAATATGTTGAAGCTGTGCTACTCTTACTTGAGTACAATTTTTTCGGTACTCTGAACTGAATTAGGGTTTGAATTGTGGTCAAACTGAGGCTTTAAATGATTTCTTTAGAAAATCGGGAGCGTGCAGCCTGTCGGTCTGCGGGGAGCCTTGTTTGTTTTTCCTCATTCCACAGATGACAGACGTGGAACGAGATGGAACCGGAGCACCAGAGGAAGAGGTGAGCTGCAGCAGAGGTTTTGCATGCGCCCCTCTGCTGATAGGGGGATGAAAAGAAGGGCTGTCAGCACCCCCCGCAGGAAGGTGAGGTCATAGCAGCATCTCTGCGGTGAGTAATACGGTTTGACCTTCGTGGAGAGATACGCAGCAGACTGCCGGATCAGCTCTCTGCAGCCCACACACACACACACACACACACACACACACACACACACACACACACACACACCACCAAGCACATCCTACAGTAAAACTCCACTTCCATTCCCACATTCACAGATGTCATTGAAATGTGTACACTCACGGCCTGAGGAGTTGGAGTCGTTCAAACCTCCCAGGTATTCCTTCGCCTTGTCGGATGTAGAAGGTGTCGTAATCTTCAGAGTCACAGGTTGGTGAACTAAGAGAGCATCTGACTCCGGAACAAGTGGGAGAAATGAAGGAATTCAAATCAAAGTGTTAGAAGCGAAACGACAAGGTCCAACAAACTGAGGTTGTTTTTCTTCTGTGCTTCTTTGCACTGATTTTGTCCAACTTTCCTCTTCACAGAACAGCAGGACGTCGACTGAGTTTAAAGGACCAACACTTCACTGACTGTTTGCATCCTTCACTCTTCAGATTTTCATTTGTACGCTGTTTGAAAGCCACCTGTGTAAGCTGTTACGTTGGTCTGTCACATAATATTTCACTAACATAGGTTGAATTTTGTGGTTTTCAAAATGTGCTAAAAAATTCTAGGGGTCTGAATACTTTTGCAAGGACTTGTATTTCCAGGTGTGTGCGTTAAAAACAACTCATAATACTCGTAATTAAATTTTGATTGTGATTAGATCAAATCTTTTTGCCAGATTTACATGCTATTTCACATACATTCTTATCAACATGCAACCTATATTACAGGTTTCTATTACAAAGGCTCCGAATTTAATTCAAATTTTAAATGATTGGAAACATCTCACTTCCAATGATCTATCAGTGTCACAATATGCTCATATAAACGGTGTTATGTTATTAAGGTAGGAGTTTTGTTTTTCAGTGCTACCTCATGCTGCAATAGGCGAGCTAAGGTGTTGTTCTTCCTGGATGTTCAAAGGCGTATCTGCTCCCGAAATGAAATCAAAGTAGCATCAGCGTATTTGCTTTACATATTATTTACCATAAATGGTTTCAGATTGAGGACCAGACGGCCAAATTTGAAAACAGGAAGGAGTGCAATTGTTTAGTTAATGCTGGATGGAAAGTCTGGTGGAGGAATTTTTTTACATCAGCGCTGCGGTGGAAACGTGATAGATAGAAGGTGCTTAGAGAAACAACGGGAGGAAAAAACATGGCCGGAGCATTGTGTGCTGGGTTTGGAGGGTTAAGGTTAAAAGGAAATGCCACAAGGATGTCAAAATGTGTGCAGACTGATATTGGACCAATCACAGGTTTACAGTGAGGTGGAAAAAAAGCAGATCTTGAGTAAATATTTGTCTGATGGGGAAATGGAGTCAATCTGAAGGTAACCTTTGGCCCTCGCTTCCTTTTCTCTTGCTGCTTGGCAGGGTGGCAGGGTGAAAAATGTGCTCTTATCTGCCCGTCACTTCCGCCTGCTGCTGAGGGACGAGGAGGAATGTGAGGCAGTGTGGTGACAAGCAAAGAGCCGAGCTGTGATTGCAGAATCATTCAAAATTCCTCAAAGATGATGGGAAATGTTTGATCTGCTGAGGCAGCGATGCGGCTTGCCATGACATCAGCGCATCCTTTCAAGCATTTAAAAGGCTTAAATTCTTTTATCTAAAATGAACTCCTTAAAATGTATTAATTTCTTAAAACAAGATGTAACTTAGCCTTGACTATATATCTTACATTTTGTCATGGCAGGACCAGTTATTCTTGTATATTCAATAGAAGATGTTGTTTTTGTGTCCTTATTGTGGCATTTATGTTGTGCTTCAAAAATTTTTATGTATCCTGTACAGCACTTTGGCTCTTTTGGTGATTTTAATTTAAATATGAATTGAATCGGATGTTTATTTCTGACATCTTCATTCCGTTCTGTGACAGGAAGTGGTTGAGGCAATCTGTTACTCTGGGAAAATACAAAAACCTATCGACAGTCGACTGGATCACATTCGACTTTGCTGTTAGCTCACTTCCACTGCGACTCATAAGAGACCACTTGCATTCTGCGTCCCAAATATGTCACAGTTTTGCTCCCTGGCGTGGTTAAAACTCCACAGGAAATGGTCATCACTGTGATTAGTGCACAGTTGCTTCACACTGTGGTCAAGCAACTGACCTTTTGAAGAATTTTCAACACAGTTGTTACTATGGTGGGATATACAGCTGGGATTCAGGTGATGCAGGTCTTAAATTTCCTTCGTAACAGTCTGAAAAATGTCTTCAAAAGTTTTGAATTTGAGTTCATCAACTCAAATAGTGAACTTTAATTCAGAAACCTGAAATTTGTGGTTTCAGGTATGTCTGAAACTACCTGCAGCTCTGTCTCTTCAGCAGAAACGTCCATATGCGGTCTATGCTAGCATATACTAGCATAGAAGCTAACTTGATCAACGCAAGTTAGCATCTCCACCCTATCTCTAAGGTGGAGGTGTAGGGTGGTGCATCTCCACCCTACACATCTGGTTCAGGTCAAGTATTAAGATTGTTTTCTCCTTAATATGGACAGAAGACTGTTTGATATTAGCTTTAAACATTTTAATATCAAGGACTCAGGAGTTTGGATGATGTCCATCAGATTTCAGTGAGAGCAGAAGAAGCAACAGGCTCCTCATGTAGAGAGTTGGACTCTGGCGTTTATGTGAGCGACGCACGTTTCCTTAAATCTGATCTGAACAATCCCAGTGACAGAAAGAGCTTCTGTAACCTTTATGCTATGAGGAGACGGTTTGCTCATCAGCCCTGGGAGACTCTGTGATCCTGGCCAGGCTGGAGGAGAGAGCAGAGGCGTCTCTGGCATTCCAGCCAGACTTGACATTTCCCTGACATTAGACTATTTTTGTTACATTTTTCCATTCTAAATCCAGGACATTTTCATTGTCCTGGGTTTGGTTTAAGGAACGCTGTTGTAAAGCTGCTCTGGAGATTGTAGCTGCCTTGAGTCCATTCTGTCTTATTACTCAGAGTAATAATAAGAGTATAGAAAATCAGATTTGGGTCAGTGAGGTTTAAAATAAGTAGGAGCAAGAACTGAATATGATTTTACATACTTTAATTTATCTCTACTTTTTTAGTGTTAAAAGTAACCATCCTCCACTACAAAGAGAGACGTGCCGAGTTGAATGAGGCGACTGTTGGTGTTAATTTAGTATTTGAAAGCGTGGCCAACACAAACTGAGAGGTTTTCTTCACTTCCTCACCTTCTTTGCTAAAACTACAGGCAAACTACGATTCTAAAACACTGCAGAAAATCGTCTTCTCACACCACTTGACTGATTGACGCAGTAGAAATTCTACGAGAGGAATCCAATCCATCATGCGGCTCATCTCCCCAATCTGTTCAAGATCAGATTCCATGACACTTTTGCAATGATGCAGGCTCTACTGTTTTTTTAAGATAAAGCAGCAAATCTGAAACCGCATCACGGAGCGGCCACGCCCTGATGACAACACAAAGAGAATTGGAGAACAGGAGCCAAATGTGGTAACCGTTGGTGGTTTTCAAACATCGGTGACTCACACAGATAGCGGCACAGGGCGAGCTTAAAAGAAATATGGGCCAAGCATCTGCAGGGGTAGATTAAAGATTTGATCGCAGCGTACCTGCCAACACGTCGGACACACAAAGGTAAAGTGTAATTGATGAGGGTGTGTGCCACACCTGTCTGCCATGACCGTGTGAGGATGAGGGTTCGCCACAGCAGCAAGAGGAGGCGAGTGATGCTTGCATAAAACAATGTGAAACATTTACTGTATGACAAGTAAACATGGAAAATGTTTCAGAAAGATTTTGGTTTCGGTATTTTCTAAGCAACCAAGTGTTTTCATTACTA